ATTTGCCTACATTTCGCCAGCGTGCATATTCATCGAGAACATTCGCACGTACTTCCCGCCATTTTTGCCGCCAATGTACAAGGGTCGAATCATAGATTTCTTGTATATTGTAAGTCGTCGAAAATTTACATACATATTCCCGCCATTTTGCTGCCTATCTACATCGTACAAATTTGCCGACATCTCGCCATCGTATTGTAACTCGTTGAGAATATTTGCCAACATATTCTAGCTAGTTGCCGAAAATCAACAAAAGTCGAATCTTCGACTATACACCATAAATTTGCCTACATTTCGCCAGCGTGCATATTCATCGAGAACTTTCGCACGTACTTCCCGCCATTTTTGCCGCCAATGTACAAGGATCGAATCGTAGATTTCTTGTATATTGGAAGTCGTCGAAAATTTACATACATATTCCCGCCATTTTTGCTGCCTATCTACATCGTACAAAGTTGCCGACATTTCGACATCGTGTGTAACTCGTCGAGAATATTTGCCAACATATTCTTATTATTTGCCGCCAATTAACAAAGGTCTAATCTTACTATACTAGGACTATACTACATAAACTTGCCAACATTTTGCCAACAATTTTCTGCCAACCTACATTGTATAAATTTGCCGATATTTTACCAACGTGTGTAATTCCTCAAGAATATTCGTACGTATTTCCGCCAAATTTACAGCCAATCTGCAAACTTCGATTCGTAACAGCGAGTAGCAGGTATCAAGAATATTCGCGACACTAGGTCAAGTACATGTGGTGCTAATGCGAACGCGTTCCAAAATGAGTGAACAACGTCGAGTAGATGCAGGGAGTGATTCGGAGCTAAACGAAACTGTCGTTGAGGCACTGGGCACCCCTGCGCCACTTCAGCCACAGGGAACTACCAACCACATGGCCGCTCTTGTAGCGTCAATCACAGCTTTGCGCGAATCGATAAACGAGCTTCGCAACGAAACAAGTACTCAACGAGCCGACATTCAACAACTACGTGAACGAGTTGAAACGGATTACGTGGGGAATAGCCAACGTCCACGGATTCCCTACCAGTCAACCAACAGCCAAGAAGCGATTGTGTCCGGCCAGCATCAGCACTCGCCGTCATCGATGGTGACGCCGCCAGCGCCGACGACGTTGGTTCCGCCCAACCAACCGCCGGTTTTTATGGAAAATGCTGCTACAAGACTACAACCTTTGCCTATATTTGAAGGAAACGCAGAAGACTGGCCACTATTCATCGCGTGTTACCGGGACACAACCGCAGAGTTTGGCTACAGCAATAGGCAGAACCTTATACGCCTGCAAAGAGCGCTTAAGGGTGATGCAAAACAAGCAGTCACCTCGCTACTTATCTATCCCGAAAACGTTCCCAGTATATTAAAGGAACTTGAGTTCAACTTTGGGCGGCCAGACTTGTTGGTGCGTGCACAGTTGCAAAGGGTACAACAGTTTCAAAACATCCCCGAGAGCCGTTTAGACCAGATTTTGGATTTGTCAGCGCGAGTACGCAACGTAGTTGCGTTTCTTAAATCGGCAAGATGTGAACATCACTTGATGAACCCTACGCTGTTGGATCAGTTGGTCACCAAGCTACCGCCATCCAAGCAGTATGAGTGGGGTAAGCGTGTCGCTGAAATTGGATCATATCCAACCGTAGAAAACTTTTCCGAGTGGCTAAGCGAATTAGCCACAGTAATATCTCTAATGCCAAGAGTAGCTGACAGAGCCTATCCGCTTGCGCATACGCGTCAAGCAAACCAGCCAGTCACAGGTAGCCGACAAGCAGCAATAGCAGGGGGTGGTACTCGCCGACTGCTTCACAGCAGCGAGATTCATGATGAACGCCGCCAGCCGAAACGGTGCCCTCAATGCAGTCAAGCACACACGTTGACGGGTTGTCGTCAATTCGCTTCGCGCAACGTTAGCGACAGATGGACGGTAGTTAAGCGCCATCAACTTTGCTTCGGTTGTCTTGATAGTGGACACAATTTATTAACTTGTCAACGCAGAACCGAGTGTGGTATCAACGGTTGTCAACGAAAACACAACAAGTTATTGCATGCTACGAATGAAACTACAACCAATCAAGTAGAGCATGTCTACAACTGCCGACAGGAAAACCAGTCTACATTATTTAAGTTCCTACCTGTAACCGTGTGTGGCCCACGAGGGATGCTGGAAACTTACGCAATGCTGGATGAAGGTTCGTCGATTTCGCTGATAAGCGAGAAAGTCGCTACAAGCCTGGGTCTGCAAGGCCAATCGTCGTTACTGTCGTTGCAGTGGTACGGCAGAAACAAGTCAACAGAAAGATCGCGCAAGGTCTCATTTGAAATAAGAGGACCAGACTCAAACATTGCAATTAAAAATGTTAGAACCATACGTAACTTAAATTTGCCAACTCAATCTTTCGAGAAAGAAAATTTTAGTCATTTGAGTAACTTAGCGGTACCAAACTATACAAATGTAAAGCCAGAGCTACTTCTCGGGTTGGATAATTCGTTCCTCAGCATCTCGAGAGAGGTCATCGACAATGGACCCAGCCAACCAATCGCCGCCAAAACCAAGTTGGGTTGGGTGGTTTACGGTCCAACGCAGAGCGGCGCGAACGTACAAGCACGAGTAATGGTACTTAAGGAAACGAATTCGTTGAAGCAACTACATAAGATTGTGGAAGAGTACATTGCCGCTGACACAGTAGCCGTCAAATCACCGGTCAACGCCATTCTGGAGTCAGACGACGATAGCCGCGCAAAGAAGATTTTACAGGAAACAACGAAATGCATCGGAAGCCGCTACGAGGTCGGCCTGCTATGGCGCAAAGGCGATATCGAGTTCCCAGACAGTTATAGCATGGCAAAGAAGCGCTTGTTAAACATTGAAGCAAGGATGAGAAAAGATAACAAGTTCGCCGCGAACTACATCACAGAAATCAATAAATATGTCAACAAGGGTTATGCAAGGCAGATGTCGGTGGAGGAAGCTGATACTGTAAAGCCGGCAACATGGTACCTACCACATTTCGGTGTAGTGAATGCTCACAAACCGGAGAAGCTACGCGTCGTGTTTGATGCAGCCGCAACCACACTTAGCACGTCACTCAACAGTGCCTTGCTCAAGGGACCTGAGAAGGTGCAATCCTTATTAACAATACTCTTCAAATTCCGGCAAGGAGTCATCGCCGTCGCTGGAGACATCGAAGAGATGTTCTCCCAAGTACGAATCCGAACTGAAGACCAAGACGCGCAACGATTTTTGTGGCGCGATGGTGATCCCAGTAAGCCAATTCGGGTATATACCATGACCTCCATGATATTCGGTGCAGCCTGCTCTCCGTGTTGTGCGGAGTACGTAAAAAACATTAATGCCGTCAAATTCAGTTCCCAAATGCCAAAGGGAGTTGATGCCGTTGTAAACAAGACGTACGTCGACGATCTTGTGATTAGCTTTACAAATGCCAAAGAAGCTGAACAGACGATAAAAGAGGCCGTACAAATTAACGCAGCAGCCGGATTTAAACTCCGAAAGTTCGTGTCAAACTGTAAAACGCTAGAAGCAAGCTTGAATGATAAGGAAAATCTGCCGTCAACCATTGTTAAATTGCAGCGAGAAGAAGGCGTCGACAAAATACTTGGCATGTTCTGGAACACAATAACGGACAAATTCGAGTTCCACTTTAAGTTTTTTAAAATAGCTCGTGACATCTTGCAAGGCAAACGACCGCCTACAAAGAGGGAACTTCTGGGAATCGTAATGTCAATTTACGATCCTTTTGGTTTGCTTACGAACGTCACCATTTCGGCCAAGCTACTACTGCAGTCATTATGGAAGGAGAACATTATGTGGGACGAAGAATTACCACCGCATTTGGCTATGCAATGGATAACCTGGTGGTCGAAATTCCAGTCGGTCAAGTCATTGTCGATTCATCGCTGTTATTCAAGCTTTATACCAAATGCGGACGATATTCAACTACATATCTTCGTGGATGCCAGCACGAGCGCATATGCCTCAGCAGCGTACCTAAGGGTACAAAAGGGCGACACGGTAGAAGTAGCATTAGTTTGTGCCAAAGCAGCATGCGCACCGCTAAAGACAACGACAGTTCCCCGCCTGGAACTGCAGGCAGCCGTCATGGGATGCCGAATCAAAAGTCTCATCGAAGAAAGCCTCGACATCACAATCAACAAAACCCTACTCTGGAGCGACTCACAAACAGTTATTTTGTGGATACGTTCGCATACAAGGGCGTATAAGCCGTACGTCGCCCATAGAATTGCCGAGATCCTTACCACGACTACGATAGATCAGTGGCGTTGGTTGCCTACTGCCATGAATGTGGCAGACGACGCAACACGCGCTCAGCCGAGTCTCGAGTTTTCACAGCACACACGCTGGTTTAAAGGACCAGATTTTCTACAACAAGCCGAGGAATGTTGGCCACGAGAAACCACCCTAACGCCAGACGAACGTGCCAACAAAGAAGAAACCAGCCGATGTTTGCTTGCCTGCAACACAGGTGAGACATTTATCACATTTACTAATTTTTCATCATTCTTGAAGTTGACGAGAACCGACGCTTGGGTACTTCGATTTACCAACAACGCCAGAAAGAAGAATTGCAAAGACGGAGAACTAGGGTTTGATGAATTAACCGTAGCCGAAAAGTTGATATGCCGGATAGTCCAGAAGGAAGTGTACCCGCAAGAAATTGAACTCTTACACAGAAAGGAACCATTGTCAAAGAGATGTAGCCTTTATCCTCTCACTCCCTATTTAGATGATAGTGGATTGTTGCGGGTGTATGGGAGAATAGACGCTGCATATTGCTTACCACTCGCCGCCCGCCGTCCGATTATCCTGCCAGGAAGCCATTATGTCGCTGGACTAGTTGTAGCGGACCACCATCGAGAGCGACACCATCAAAACGACAACTTGGTAATGAACGAGATTCGCCAACGTTATTGGGTAACGGCCATACGCGGTACACTGAAGAACGTTAAGAGGCATTGCCCAGTTTGTATACATGAGAGAGCTAAACCAGCCGACCCATTAATGGGTCAATTGCCAAAAGATCGACTTACACCTTATGTTCGACCATTTTCCTACTGCGGAGTGGACTATTGTGGCCCATTTAACGTCGCTATCGGTCGCAGAAGGGAAAAACGGTGGATTGCGCTGTTCACCTGCCTGACAACCAGAGCAGTTCATCTTGAGTTGGCGGAAAACCTCTCAACCGATGCGTTTATACTGTGCCTTCGCAACTTTGTTAATCGGCGGGGCGTACCCATACGTATCCGTAGCGATAATGGTACGAATTTTGTTGGCGCCCAAAAGGAGATAAACCAGAGTGAAAGATTATTCGATTTCGACGCTATCGAACGCGAAATGTCCAGGCGCAAGATTGAATGGGTATTTAACTGTCCAGCTGACCCAAGTAGCGGAGGCTGTTGGGAGCGTCTGATTCAATGCACCAAGCGACTTCTACATCGAGTTTTGAAGGAAGAGGCGCCGAGGATAGGCACTTTTCAGAGCGTTCTCATTGAGATCGAGAACATAATCAACAGCCGACCATTAACCGATATTCCTTTGTTGCCAGGAGAGGCGGAGCCTCTTACGCCTAACCATTTTTTGGTTGGCTGCCTAAACTCCACCCAAACGCCACACCCCGAAGAAGAACGTCTTTGTCTCAGGAAGCAATGGAAGATATCCCAAAATTTAAAAGATCGTGCTTGGAAGAGATGGACGCTGGAGTACTTGCCACGTCTGCTCTGTCGCCCTAAGTGGAGAGAGGAGGTAGCAGCACTCAAACCGGGAGCGGTTGTCATAGTATGTGATCCTTCAGCACCGCGGAGCCGTTGGGAAAAAGGAAGGGTCACAGAAGTCTTTAAAGGAAGCGACGGCAGAGTTCGAAGCGCTAACGTCCGCACATCACATGGAATCCTTCGACGACCTATTCGAAGGCTAGCCGCCTTGAGATGTTGCGAACCCACTGATGATTCGCCAGGAGGTGGAATGTAGTCAACTACAAAACCCTCACTATGTGGCAACACCACATTGAGCTGTCAGCTCGCAGCAACCACAGCCAACATCAACTGCCGTATTCAGTTTTTTACACATTCATTCGCCCACCAAACCGAGAGAAGACACAAGCTTTAGCATTTTAGCCTAGCCTCTTTAGTCTAGCCATTTTAGTCTAGTTATCGTGTATTTTACTTCGTCTTCAAATGTAACCAGTTCATTGTTGTATTGCTTAATTATACTTTAAATCAAAAATAAATAAGCGTTTTTTGTTGCAAGCCGGTACGACGTCCATAACAGGTATATTAATTTTTTTCACATAACGGTTGTTTGTAACAGCCAAAACGAATCGAGATAGATTTAGAAAAATGTATACATAAATGCTCAGAATGAATAGAGGAATCGATTAAGCCATGTTTGTATGTCCGTCCGCCTGTCCGTCCGTCCGTGTACACGATAACTCGAGCAAAAATTGAGATATCTGAACGAAATTTGGTATGTAGGTTTCCAGTAATCCAAGGTAGGTTGGTATTGAAAATGGGCGAAATCGGACTGTAACCACGCCCACTTCCCATATAACGGTAATTTCCAGAAATACGAAAACTGCGATATTTTAATAACTACTGAAGATAATTCACTCAAAATTGATATTTACAATAATTTTCAGACGAAAAATAAGAATATTGTAAATTTTTGGAAAATGGGCGTAGCCACGCCCACTTACAGTTACATGTGTATATCTTGGTAACCGCTGCACCAAATTCTTCCAAACTTGGCACAGTTGTTGGTCTTGATACAGCATACTAAATGGCTGAAAATTTAAAAAATCGGATAATGACCACGCCCACATCCCATATAATGGTAATTTTCGGAAATACGAAAACGGCGTTTTTTTAGTAACTACTGAAGATTATTCACTCAAAATTGATATTTACAACAATTATTAGACAAAAAATAAGAATATTATAAATTTTTGGAAAATGGGCGTAGCCACGCCCACTTATGGTTACATGTGTTTATCTTGGTAACCGCTGCTCCAATTTCTCCAACTTGGCACAGTTGCTGGCCTTGGTACAGCATACTAAATGGCCAAAAATTTAAAAAATCGGACAATAACCACGCCCACATCCCATATAACGGTAATTTAGAGAAATACAAAATCTTCGAAAAATCAGTAAATATTAAAGCTAATTTA